TAAAACTCCCGGCTAGGGGGCGGGTTATAAAGTAATATATCCTATAGTTTATAGGATATTCCTTAGAATAATAGTGGTATTAAATTATTATTAGCTATTTCTCCTTTTAAAGTAAGGCGTTAGAACTCCGAGAAATATATACTAAAGTCTTAGTACCTCTAGTGGAGCTAGTATAGGCGGTTCTAGGCGTTCTAGACACGGTCGGGGTCGCCGAACGTGTTTTCGAGATAAGTTAGGAGTTCGGGGTAGTCGCTAAACCATAGGATTCTAAAGATAGTACGGGGGAGTATTAAGGTATATACCTTCTTAATAAGCCTACCGGCTATATATATTAACCGGCTTATAGCGGTAGGGAATCGGTCGGCGTTAGTTATTATTTTTACGTAGATTTAATATAAGAAACGGCGGAGATCGGAGCGGGATTTTTTAAACTTATTAAGGTCGGGAAGCTTCTTAAATAATCGGGAGGAGGTAGTAGATCCGGTAGTAAGCGGCGGAGTCGTTCCTAAGTAAGAAGTTATAATTTCTTTAGCGGGGGGGGTTCCTAAAGCCTCTAGAATAATTACTCGTACGGTCGGTAAGCTAGCTTACTAGGCGAGTTAGGCGGTTATAGTTACCTCGATAATCTATATATCCTTATCCTTTATCTAAGTAAGAAGGTTTCGGTTAGCCGCGCTCTCTACGATAATCTTAGTTTCGAGGGTAGCTGTTTTCTTATCTAATATAGCTATATAATCGGTAAGGTTCGTAATCTAAGTATCTTAGGATTCTATATAAGTATATACCTATTAATAGAAGTAAAATTATTTAGAAAGGTTACTAGCTACGGTATCTACGAAAGCGCGCGTATCCTAAGGTAACTCTAGAGGCGTCGGGCGGGAGGTTATTATATTTAGCGTCCTATAGGTAGGAGCTACGTAATATCAGGGGGGGTCGGTCGGTAGGTAGGACAGGGAGTACTCGGTCAGGCTAATCTAGTCTATTGCTACGGATAGGCACTCCTTAGGTAGGGCAGGCTCTATATATAATGTTAAAAATAGGGACCCAATGCCCCTATTAGGTGCCTTACGAGGCCCTCTCACACGACACTTGCAGGGGCCCCCTAGATCTTACAGGGATCTTTCAGTGGACTAATACAAGGGTCCACAGCGCTTACGAATGCGCTTACGAATGTAGTGCTTCTGAAGCCTTCTATAATATTCGAAGGTTCGATTTGATCTACTCTTTTACAGGGTATTATAGCGCCCTCACGCCTATAAATATAGGCCTTTATTCACTACTAGATAGTTCTTTTGAATTAAGTTGTCATTCTTTTATCTGTTTGCCTACCCTAAAGATCATCGAATTAGTCGCGATCTTCCTTCCACTACGCTTATAAGAGGACTACTCTTTAATATATAAAATATAGCTCGAAGAGCTATAACAGAAGACAGTCGGGATCGCGATAAAATATAAAAGCGGGCGCGAGTTCACGTAACTACTAGGTACAGGGTGGGTCCCCGCTCTTAACCAGCTGTGATAGTTAGCACTACTATACTCGCTAGTATAAATCAAAACCTTCTATAATCTTCCACTAGGTTCGATTTGATCTACTCTTTTATAGGGTATTATAGCGCCCTCACGCCTATAAATATAGGCCTTCATTCACTCTTAGATAGTTTGTTTGAATTAAGTCGTCATTCTTTTATCTGTTTGCCTACCCTAAAGATCATCGAATTAGTCGCGATCTTCCTTCCACTACGCTTATAAAAGTACTACTCATTAATAATATAAGATAGTAGACCTTATATAAATAATAAAAAGGAGGAAACCGGACCGAGTTATTAGGGTTAGAGGAAGAATGTTAAGTTAATTTTCGAAATTTATATACTAAGTCCGCTAACGTAAACCACATGCGAGTGGCCCACCCAAGCGAGTGGCCCACCCAAGCGAGTGGCCCACCTCTATCACCTATCGCGTACGAAAAGGATAATTAAGAACAATATAATAAATTAAATTATAGATACAATAAATAGATTAATAGCGTAAGTCTTATATATCTTCTGGATAACTTCGTACATTATAACCTGCTTTAGCGTATCTACTATAGCGTGCAGGCTTCGGACTGCCTAGTGGTTAAGGGCGCCTCTTCGTGCGCTTCGCTTCCTGAATCTATTCATTAACCTTCTTTTAATTAATAAGATCTTTCCTATCTTATATAGTTAGTGGGCCTCTATGCTAGAGATAGCTTCTTTTGACCCCCCGGCGCTTACTTAATACCTTATTTACTGTACGTAGTAACGTATTCTCTACTTATAAAAGGACTACCTGATGTATCACTACTATAGCCCCCTTCGTTAGTTAATCTAAGGTATTAAGCATAGGCGTTAGAGAGCTATTCTAATAGATAGAGATCCGAGTCTTAATATATTCCGACTGCGCGCTAGCCTCGTGCGCGTTTTACGGCGTTTTAAAGATCTAAGGGTGGGTAATCTTAAATAGATCTATAGGAGGAGTTAGCGTACGAAGCTTTATATCAAGCTTTAAAATAACCCTTTCTAGGTCGTGTAGTGTAAGCCCTATGCCTTTAAATCCTCCCTAGATATTCTTTTCGGTAAAGGCATAGAAGAAGGCCGTACGAAATACGCGAAAGAAGTCGACCTTTAAGATATACGTAATATAAGCGCGTATTAGATCTTTAACTTATCGCCCGTACGCTTGTTTAAGTGGCCTAAAGTAGCTAATATCGAGGGGCTGAAGAATATAGGAAGAATAAGCCGGTATATAGACCGTAATAATCTTCTTCTCCTGGTAAAATAGCTCGAAGTTAGTTAAATAGTGACTTTTATAGCTATCGAGGATAAGTATTCGATATACGCCTTTCGTACGAGAGCTTATATAGTAATTAAAATACTTAATCCACTTAAGGCTAATCTTATTAGTTATCCAGCCGTTCTTAGTTATAGCGATAACCTAATCGGCCGGAAGGTCGGTCCCTTCGTACTAAGTTAATAAATAATACTTTACCGCGAGGATAATAAAGGGAGGGATAGCCTAGCCGCGCGTATTAAAGCCTTAGATAATAGTTACCTATTCCCTATTTCCGGGCTGGGATAGTCTGGCCTTAGTACGACCTTCTGAGGTCGTGATAACTATACCCGCGAAGATAATACTTATTATAAAGCCAGTCTTATCGAAGTTATAGATATCGTTATCTAGGATCCCGTACTTAGCCTATATATTCCGTATAAGTATAAACCAGCCCTTAATAAGTCTCGGATCTTCGTATTTAGCCCGCTAGTAGTTATATTTACGAACCTAGCGCGTGCGAAGTTCTTAGTAGCGTTTAACGAAGTTTAAAGCCTAATACGTGCCAACGGGTGGCGCGTCGCGTACGCGTAGAAGTTAGTTAGCTATATCTTTAATACTATAAAGTCTTAGAGGGAACGATCGCGAAGATAGATCGATTATATACTAGATAATCGCCTTTTCTTCTAAATTAGTTAAATTTATTAAATTCGGCCTAGTTTCTGCTCGGACCGTGAGGCCCTGCTTTCGGTGACGGAGTATCGTACGAGGTATATTATAGACCTTTGTAATGTACCGCATGCTTAATAATGGGTTTTCTTCGATAGCTTTAAGGGCTAAAAGGACCCTGGATTCTTTCGGAAGCTCATCTATATTAAATTATAGTGATAATTGGCGAGGAATATCAACGCACGCGATAGGTGATGGAGGTGGGCCACTCGCTTGGGTGGGCCACTCGCATGTGGTTTACGTTACCTCTAAACGCAGGTTTAGTATAGCCTACGGGCACTAGCATTAGCACTAGTACTAGCGCCTTGTATCTAGACTAAGTTTAAAGTAGTCCACGGGCGAACTAATACAAGCGCCTTACCGTATTCAACTATATACAAAGAAAAATATATATCTCACGGAGTAACGTGATTGATAAGCTAACCACCTACTTCCTTAAATCCCTATAATAAGATCTTTAATTAAAACATAATATATTATTTAATTAGTTTAAAATAATCGCTAGGCTTATCTCTAGATACCTCTATCTTAGTCTAATATATTCGTGAATTATAGCCGGCCTTCCCGCATATACTATAATACCTTATAGCTAGCTATACTATTACGGTTCTACTAGTTGCTAGCGGCTAGGTATAAGACCTAGCCCGGTTCACCTAGGCACGTAACGCGTGCCCGCGAGGACGCATAGACATCGTAGGGTCTTAATAAGAAAGGGGGATTATAGATTCCCTCTTCTTTCTCTTTTCTTACCATATCGTTAGATAGACTGAATCTAAGCTACTAAGTTATACTAATAAGGCTTAGCTTATAATATATCTAACGATTAATCTAACGATATCGCGTATTCGTATAGCACGAGCTATGATATCCGATAAATGAATATCCGATATCCCCCCGTAGGTAACTATATAGATAGCTAAGTAAGTAAATACCTCGCTCTAGCCGATAAAAAAGTAAGTCGTAGAGCTTTTATAGCTTATTTATAGTAAACTTATAACGCCTACCTTTTTGTAAGCTCCCGAATAAGATACGCCTAAATATCCTATACCTGTCCCCCTTATCGTTATCGACGCGGTGCCCGACGAGGTAACTTAGGCTAGTGTTCCGATCGAGGCGCTTTTTAAGCAAAGACCTAGCGGCTAGTTTGTAAAGCGAACTCCGTGCACGCCCACAATCTCCACTCTTCTAATAGTGTCGCACCTGGTGTTCTCACAACACACACGAGACCACCGCGTCACCAGAACAACAACAAGCTGCGCACAAGGGCGCCATTCACCTGTTCCGCCAGGCCACTTTAGATTTCAGGTTGTTATAATCATGCTATCACTGCATTGAGTTTATTAGTACGAGGGCAAACAAATTGCCTAGGGACGGTAACCGGCGAGTCACTCACGTTTGCCAAGCTCGGGAATTCAGAACATGTGTAAATTGAAACGCCAAGTTTGCCAGCTCTACCTAAGTAATCACGAATTGCAAGCGCTATATCAGTATGACTTGACAGCATCTTGCACCAGCATCCCGATCTTTGTGCTCTTGTTCAGCAGCTGTAGCATGGAAACCTCCATCCCGAATGTCTTGATCAGCCAGTTCCTCAGTTCGCCCGCCACCAAGCTGTCAACTCCGTAGCGCGACACGGGTTTCTCGGTGTCGATCTCGTCGGTGGGTATGCCGATCAGCTCGGCGATCCGTGCTGTGATGGCAGAGCGAGCGATCTCGAGCTTTTCCGCTGGCGTAGACGCGTTTTCCAACTGCGATGCTATCGAAGAGCCGTGACCTGCCCCTGCGCCAGAGCCGGTAGCGAGAGCCAGAGACTCTTCGGAGATTGCCTGCGCGACAGCCCGGAAGCGAGGGTTCTTGTACCATACCAAGTCATTGATGCGTCCGCTGTCAAGGTAAGAGACGAAACGCGAAGGTTCGAGTCCTGTGACGATTTGACCTGTGCAGTACGGGTCAAGCTGGGAGAGCGCAGAAGGCTCCACGGAAGAGTCAGAGTCGCAGAGCGCACCCTCGATAAGCTGAAGGAACTCGGTTTCCGATACTCCGTAGGTAGCGTTGCGCCGCAGCATCTGCTGGAAGGCAACAGAGCCACTGACGGAGCCGACTTCAAGAATGAGACCCAATCCTAGCGCAGTGGCTGGCAGAGACTGCATGCGCCGGAATCGAGCAAACGCGTCCTGGAAGGCGTTTGCGGCGGTGTACGCTCCCTGGCTTGGGGTGCCTACCGTTCCGACAATGGACGATGTCATCAGGAAGAAATCCAGAGGCATGTCCTTGACCGCGTGATGAAGGTTCACCGTGCCAGCGACCTTCGGTGCGAGAACCTTCTGAATCTGCTGCCAGGTAGCATTCGCAAGGAGAGCGTCCTGGAATATCGTTAGCCTTATACGACATGATGTCCTGTGAATTATGTCTTTGTGAAACTTACCCCCTCCACCATGGCAGCGTGGATGACACCCTTCACCTTGGTACGGCAAGAGATATCAGAGACCGCCAAAGTGACTGATTTCTGGCAGATCACATCACAGCGGATGACTTCAGGAACAGCCCCGGCGGCTTCGAGATCTCGCACGAGAGCAACAGTCTCAGGCTTGTCGGCGCCTGATCGAGACAGGAAGACAAGGTGACGAGCGCCGCGCTCCACCATCCATGCCGCGAGGCTGCGTCCGAGACCACCCAGACAACCAACAAGCAGATATGCAGCAGTAGGGTCAAAGGCGGCTCGTGAGACTGACCGTGCAATCTGCATTCAATTAGCCAGGCGATCAACGTGGTATCTGCCTTAAAGACTTACCTTGAGTTCGGCCGCTGGGTTGTCAAAGGTGATAACAAACTTTCCGGTGTGCACTCCCTTTGAGAAGCTACTCATGGCTGACTCAAGCTGAGAAATGCAGAAAGTGCTCAAATGCTGAACAGGGCCAATTACCCCGTGGTCAAGTAGACTTAGCATCTCGGCCATCAAACTATTTGCTGGTTAGCATACCGGGGAACCAAGTCTCATTCTTCGGGGCCACCGGAGAGAAAAGTTACCTCGTGATCAGATTGGGCTTTTGACGATATACCAAGCCAAGATCGAAAGACGAGAAAGTGGCATTTCTCTTGAATACCTCCAACCCCAGCCTACCACCGCCAAGGACGTCAGTTCGGCCAACATCGATGAAGCGGCCCAGAGGTGCAATGCATCTCCATGTCTCGTGCATCGAGTCCCCAGCTGAACTACACAGAACCACGTCGATGCCTCTCTGGCTCGTAGCTTGCATAAGTTCATCGATGGCGCTGAGGCTTCGTGAGTTGAAGATGCGGTTGGCGGGGATACCGAATTCCCGAGTCAGCGCATTGCGCTTGTCATCGGTACCGACTGTTGCATATATCTGAGCTCCGATATTCTGGGCGATGCGGACAGCTGCCATGCCGAGACCTCCGGTGGCAGACTGAATGAGAACCGATTCTCCTTTTTGCAAGCGGGCGAGGTGGTGGAAGGCGTAAATTGCGGTGAGGTAGACGACTGGCATCGACGCGGCACCCTCGGCCGAGACCTTGCTCGGGACCTTCGCGACCAGAGAAGCTGGTGAACGAAGGCGGTTGCCCATGTTTCCGGGGATCATGCCGAAGACGCGGTCACCCACCTTGAGGGTCGTGACATCTGGGCCAGTACGAATCACCACTCCACAGCCTTCGGTGCTGAATGTATCGAGATCAAATCGAGCCGTAGCGACGGCGAGATCCTACAGGTTGAGAGTCAGGTCTGTGCTTGGTAGAAAATCCAATCAAGAGAAAGGTTGCTTACCTTCATGTTCAGACCAATGGCCTCAGTTTTGATCTCAACCCAGTCATTCCTCAGTGGCTTGTCAAATTGCAGATCGCGGCTGAAGTACAGAGATGATAACACGCCAGGCTGCCCGTAGCACGCCTTGATCGGTCCTTGGGATTCTAGAGTTCTCTGGACAAGTTCTTCTCCAACATTGCGCAAGGAGAACTGCTCGTTGAGACCCGGGTCTGGCAACAGGCGTTCAACGTAAAGGGAATCATCCCTGATGAGGCATTCCCTATCGACGCTTTCAAATGAAGCATCGTCTTGCAGCTCATTCAACTTCTGGACAAGCAAGCTGGGGATGCTCTTTTGCCGTGTGTAGCTATTCAAATCCAGCTCAACAAAGGCGAACTTGGACTGTCCGTATTCTGTGGCAATGGATCTGAGGAATCCCTTCATGATAGATGATTCGCCAGGGACCATGAGATCGCCACTGATCCAGACCATTGCTGAAGCTCGCGAAACAGCCTGTCTCACTGCTTTGAATTCAGACTCGTCGCGGCAAGTGAAAGCGCTACCGTTGATGTCAGCGAAGCTGATAATGGTCGACCTTGGGGTGATCTCATCGCTTGAATGCAGCTCTACGAAGGCAGGTGTGAGACCTTGTTGCTGAAGCAATTTGAATGTAGCCTCTGCCGCAGACGGAATTGTCTCTCGGTACAGCAGGACAGCATCGGCCAATTTCTGCTTCGAGACAAGGTCTGTTGTGGTCTTGGCAGCCTTAGAGAGCATAACAGTTGTTTGATGCTGATCCTCAACGTACTATTCTGGGGTTAGTAATTTTGTCACCCAAGTCAATGAAACGAATGGCACACTTACGTCTCGCAGAGAAATCTCAACTCCTGAAAAGCCCGAAACCCTGAGGACCGAGTCCCAAGAAGTCTCATCGATACTGATATCGTCGGCAACCCACTGGCCCGTCAGGGTTCGGAGGAGGATCTCTGACGGAAGGGTGAGGTGAGTTGTTTCCGACAAGACAAGTGACCCCGACGGCTTCAGCAAAGTCTTCAGGTTCGCCAGTGCAGATTCGCGGTTTTCCGATTGTCCGAGGAAGCCAGCCGCGATAACAAGGTCAAATGAATCGGCTTCGAATCCCTGAGAAACAGGGTTTTGTAGAACATCCAAGGTTTCAAAGGTCAATCCGCCGTGATCTGCAATTCTCGTCTTCGCATCTGTAACGCACCAGCCTTGTGAGTCTGTGATGACGTACTCATCGAACCTCTTCGATGGGTGTCTCAGCACATGAAGAGCCGCCAAAGTTGCTCCGGCTGATCCTGCACCGACCTCTAACACTCTCATTCGAGGGTTCTTGTGAGCGAGAAGATCCAAGACGTTTCGCAGCTGCAGATAGGCGCCCTCAACAAAAGTACCGGAAGTGTAGAGGTCATTGAGCAGATTGTTCTCCATCAGGACCTTAACACTGTTCGTGTCTCCCCTGAGCACTTTGTCGATGTTGGCGTGCAGGGCCACAAGGCATCGCGCCTCCGGAACATGGCTCAGATCTTTGGCCAGCCTTTGAATCTCGCCTTCACAGTCTTCCTTTCTGAAGCTCGGGATAGCTTCATACTCCTTCGAAGATGTCCATTTCTCGACCCAATCGATGAATTGATCATGGTTTTGGCCAGCGGAGTCAGAATATGTCACTTGTTGTAGCTGGCCCTGCAGACTCACAAGTACGTGGACAGCCAATGTTTGTAGAGCTTCCATGTTAGCAGCGTGGTTAGAAGAGTCCTCTCTGGGAGGGAACAGGGTCTGTGCCATGGACGCACTCAGAGTGCCAATGTCAGGTCGTAGCACTGGTCGCCAGTACGGATGACGGGCTGACACTGTAGCACTTGAGTCCCCGATTCCTTCATACGCAACACACTTCAGGTCTCCCACGTCAAGGAGTAGCGACCCGCCTAAATTGTAGAGCTGAACTTTGGTGTAAGCACTGCGGAGGCCGAGGAGATTCCCTTCCGCCACGCCCAATGCGTGGGCTGCGGGTTGCTCAGGGACACAGACCGTCAGGTTGTCTGCAAAAATGGGAACAAAGGCCTTTCTGAAATTCTCGACTTGTCCCGCGTGGCAAGAGATGAGCGCTAATTGAATGCAAGTATCGAGGGTGGCAGGGTGAATCACATACTGCGATTCATTCTCGAACGAAGCAGTAGGATGAAGGGATACGTTGGCTGACGCAACATTGGCACCACGGTACGCTTTGAGATCTGACAATCCCTGGAATGCAGGTCCGTAGCCAAGACCGGCAGTCTGGAACCGTTCGTACCATCGGGAGATATCCAGAGACTTGGCTCGGTGGTCGATCTCCAGCTTATTGGATGGATAAACGTCCGCGTTTGCCGTGACCATGGCGATCTTTCCGGTACAGTGTTGCGTCCACACATCATTATTGGGTAGAATGGAGCCAATGCTGAACTTGTACCACTGTGACATGACGGCAGCGTTGTTCAGTGGTAGCCTCTCCATGTTGAGGAATGTTTCCACACCAAGCTCAGTGTCTTCAACGCGCAAAGTCGAGTTAATGGCAATCTGGCGAAGCTTGAATGCTTTGATCGGAGCCGCATCCTCTGCTTCATTATGAAGTTGAGTAGCAGCTTCAATTGCCATGGTCATGTACGCGGCTCCGGGGAGAACCGCATGAGGGAGCAACTTGTGATCTTCGAGCCAAGGAAGGTCTTTCTGGCGGAGGACATTCCTCCACTGTGGGTGGTTCTTTGAACCGCCCGGAACACGGGCTCCGAGGAGGTCATGGCGGAGATGCTTGCGAAGTCGGTACTCCTTGTTGAGTCTGTTCTCGTAGTGGAGCGGGGGATCAGGGTAAGAGTACTTGTAGGGGGGTAGATCCAGGCAGAAAAGACCATGGGAGAGCTCCAGCTTTCCGGATGCGATGCTCTCTGTCGCGTTGACGGCAACCAGATTGATGGCAGCGTTATGGATGAACAGATCTCCGGCGAGCGAGAGCATGCTCACAACGGCGTCTTCGCCGCGACGAAGCGATCCGAGACAAGCAGGCAGCGAGGTCCCATGATTTCCTAGATCAGTTCTGATCTGCTTCAACGGACCGCTTAACGCTGGATGAGGTCCGATCTCGATAAGGAGATCTACGGGGCTCTCCGCTGCACATCTCTCCACGGCAGTCGAGAACAGCACCGGTGACTCCAAGTTGCGTCGCCAGTACGCCGGATCTGCCCTTGTGGCTTCCTTCTTGGGTGTCACCGAGGAAATCCAGTCTGCGCTGGGGAGCGCTGGCTCTTGACTGGTGAACGAGCTGATCTCTGCAAGACCTTGGGTGGCGAGCTGTTCATAAACCTCACCGAGAGCCAGCATGTGGTGAGAGTGGTATGCGTTGCCACCTGTCTTGAGAACGCGCGCGAACACGTCCTTATCAGCCAGGATCTTGTTCAATGACTGAATAGAATCAGGCTCTCCCGAAAGCGTGACGCTGTTGGGCGAGTTGACGGCGGCGATCTTGACCTTGTTCTCGATTCCATCGAGATAGGACCGAGCATCGTCGCTGCTGAGGCCTGCGGCCATCATGAGTCCCTCTCGGGTATTGGTTGAGACGACCTGGCCGCGGAAGTACGCGAGAACAATAGCCTCAGATGCCTTGAGATGGCCAGCTGCGTAGGCTGCGGCAATCTCGCCTGCACAATGTGTCAATCGTTGGTATTGGTACGCCCAGTGCATCTGAGATTGGTGTTTGTCGACACTTACCAGAAGAGTGCCCAAGAGTCATAACAGGCTCAATTTCCCATTGCCTCAAAAGAGCCAATAGTGCTATCTGCAGGCCTGTGCAAACGGTCTGGGAGAAGGCCGGGTCATGAATCTGGCTGGTGACCGCCGGCTCCAGAAGTGCTCCCTCAATCGTCCAGGACGGCCTCCTGGTCAGGGCACCCAGAACTTGGTCCAGATAACGGATTGTCTGTCTGAACATAGCATACTCGGGGAAAAGTTCCGCGCCCACTGAGAAAAAGCGGTGTCAGTGCACGAGCATCTTTTTGGTTGAGTAGGAGGTACCGAGTCAACTTACTCCGGGGCCATTGCGCGCCCTGTCCTGTGAAGACGAAACCGAGCTTCTTTGAAAAGGTGCTTGGGGCTTTCGCCTTGATCACCTGGTCGGCCTGGATCCCATCCGCCTTGATTGAGTCAACAGCAGTGACAACGTAAGCCCGTTTAGCGAATCTCGATCGTCGACTGCTCAGGGTATACAGAATGTCAGCCGCCTCATATTGCGAGAACAGGCTCCCGGCACTCTCGATTCCCTCTTTGAGGGCATTGTCGTTGTGAGCGGATATCGGGAGCAACACATGTGGACGCGTCCCGGACGCCTGGGCTTGGACGAGTTGCGTTAGTTGATACCAGGTGAACGGGTCAGAAGAGTTGGCATGGCCGTTGCCGTTGGCGTGGCCGTTGCTGTTGACATGGTCGTTTTCATTAGTCTGGCGACTGGGAAACAGTGCTCGTAGTACCTGACCATAACCTCGAGGCCTTCCGTGGAGGTTGTAGCCGGGAATGACTACGCTCGGATGATCGAGAATCGCGTGGCTATTCGCGCCGCCGTACCCAAAGCTACATCCCGTCGTAAGCATTGAGCCTTCCATATGCCAGCTGGCTGATGAACATACCTGTTGATACTGGACCGCAGCAGCCTGTTGGACGGCCACTCTGTCATCTTTGTCACGACCTTGGCTTTGGCCGTCTCGAAGTCGATCGCAGGGTTAAACTCTTTGATGTGAATGGTCGCAGGGATCTGCCTATGCTCCATGGCAAGGATGCATTTCATGATCTGTGACATGGCACTGGCAGCTTCACTGTGCCCGAGATTTGGTTTAATCTGGTCAGTCAGCGATCGGTCGCGCTTCGGGATTATGCCGATAGACTCACCGAACCGATCAGCAAAGGGTCATCTGTGCGGCCCTTTGAAAACACCCTCCCGACGGCCGAGGCCTCGATCGGATCTCCCACTGGCGTGCCCGTTCCATGGCACTCTGCGTAGCCCGTGAGGTCTGGGTTCAAGCCGCCCGCGGCCTTGTAAGCTTGTCGGATGACTGCTTCCTGGCCGTCGGGGCTAGGATGCGAGATGCCGCCTGTTTTCCCGTTCGCATTAAACGACGTGCCCCGGATGACGGCACGGATTGGGTCACCTTGGGCAACGGCATCTGACAGCTTTTTGAGGTAGAGGGCGCCGAACCCTTCGGCGCGCGAGTAGCCGTCAGCGGCGATGTCAAACGTGTGGCATCGAGATGTCGGGGACACAGCGCCGAGCTTTGTTGTGAAGATTTGATTGTCTGGACCGAGGATCACGTTGGCTCCCGCGACGATCGCCGCGTCGCAGTCGTCATTGCGAATCGCGGTGACGGCAAGGTGTAGAGCGTACATAGACGCTGAGCATGCGGTATCAACCATGAGACTGGGGCATTTAGGCATGAGTGGCTGCACAGACACTCGCTCTGCGAGATGGGTGTCAACTCACCTTGGTCCCGAAAGGTTAAACACATAGTTGATACGATTGCTAAGAATCGTAGGGCCGCCACCGGTCACAACGTAAGGTAACGTGTGGTCCGGATCCCGATATTGCATAAGCTGGTGCTCGTTGTTGAAGTTTCCGACGAAAACACCAGTCCTCGAACCAGAGAAATTTTCCAGGGGCTCTCCGGCAGACTCGACAGCCTCGTACGTCACTTCGAGCAATTTCCGCTGGCTGGGGTCCAGCGCCATCGCCTCTGTTGCTGAGATGCCGAAGAAGCTGTGATCAAAGTTGCGCGTGTCCTCTTCCAAGACATGCCCGCCTCTTGTGTACATGCTCCCCTGCCGCTTGCCGTTGGGATGGTAGAACCCGTCGACGTTGATGCGGTCTTTCTTGAATTCGGACCAGCCGTCTCTCTCTTCCCGCAGCAGATCCCACAGTTGTGAGGTTGTTCTCACGCCACCAGGCCATCGGCACCCTGTGTTTTCGTGATCAGCATCTGGGAGCATTGCATGTGAGTGTTAGACCGCCTTACCCATGCCCACGATGGCTATCAGCTCTGGGCATTCTGAGAGGGGAGGGTCCGAGGGCTTGAGTTGCTCGGACATTTTGTCTCATCAGACTGCAAGTGGTGTGTAAGTTATAAAATCCGGGCAACTTCGAACCTGATGATGCTGAGTCTTGATCTTCTTGTGTGTATCGCCAAGGACAAAAAATTTTCTGAGTAATTCCGATTCAGGCTGAGCATTCAGAATGAATAGTCTTTGGTAGCAAAGCCATAACCCTGAGGAGTATCATATATAGGCACGGGAACCTTTGTGGTCCTGAATCGGGTGGCCAAACAAGGGCCACAATGCTGCCACCTGAGTAGACAGTAGGATCCTAGCCGAGGTGTGGCGGCAGCAGACATTACTGGGACTCCGTCGTCGGCATTCAACTTAGGCAGGCTGTTGTCAAAGACGCTTTTGCCTGCATCCAGTTAGGGGCCTGGGTGTGGGAGTATCATCTGCGGATGACGGCACAGCAGCGCAGGTCGATGATAACGGCGAGGCTAAGAGTGAAACTCCATATGCATTACGACTATCATAAGCAGGCATGCATGCGTGATGGCCGGGAGTTGCGGGAGGGGAAACAAGGGGTGGGCCGACAGGCCCTTCGGAGCAACAACCTCCTATCTCAGCCGGGGGAGTCCACTCGTTGGAATATCACGCAACCGCCCATGCCGTGGTATGTCACGTATGGCTTGGAAAGGGTTCATGCGTCATGATCGGATTGCTGACGAAGTTCTTCAGTTGTGGCAGTCTAGTTGTAACAATAGTAGGATAGATTAGGTAGGGAGAGAAGGTATAGGTAGTATATTCACAAAACTCAAACTTACTTCTCCCTCTACAGGTAGAAGTAAGTATATTATACCTAAAGCGCTCGGAAGATCCGGAGGTTAGGTGTAATACTAATGAATCGGGTACGCATTATTGATGCTGACATGGCGGTACGCCATAGCATCCGAGGCCTCCGTGATTCCTTGTGACTGCACCGCTGACTTCCTTCGGCCACGGTGTTACACTAGTTATCGTTTGGTTCTGGTCCTAGGACTATCAGGTCGGGACAGTTGATGGAATCTCAAATTCAGTATATCATAATATCTTGATTCTTTAGTATTGCTAGTCTCGACACGACCTATATTAAAGATCGGCATTCCGAGGCTACTCATCCGGACGGCTATCTAGCTAGATGTTATTACGGGTGGTCAACTTCACAGGTGAACAGGAGACGAGATATCGAGATCAGGAAGGACTGGCTCTGTTGATAAGACGTAGCTTGAAGAGCTACAACAGACTAGATTCGCGTCTAGCTTAGAAAAGGAGATGCGCGCAGGTCCGTGCGCGCTTCCACACGTGACTAGTATAGGGTAACTTAGTACGATGTCGTAGCTGAGTAGTCGAGCTGTGACAGATACCCAGGCTTTCCCTAATTTCCTCACGACGCCCGATAACTTTCCGTTCTAGGAGCCCGAGAAAGGCCTAACGATAGATAAAATCCGCACCTATATCGATAATTTCGAAGATTTCACGGTAAAAGGTAAGAACGGCTAGGTTATTATCCTCCGCGGGATAAACGAGTTAATTGGCAACGGTAACTACAATACCTTTAATACTATTAACTCCGCTAAGTTCCTCCCAGGGACGACGACCTTTCCGCCATGAGAGAAGCGTATAACGGACCTCGGCTTTAGTATTGCTAGTTAATACTAGCGTAAAGGCTATAGCCTCGAAATACTTAAGGTATTTATCGAGCATACTTAGACCGACTTAGGCTATAAGTTAATTAGGATTAAGCCGGGCAACAATAACTAGCTGTGGAAGTCGTTAATACAGGTCGCTAGTCTCGGCTACTTCGAATCACGCTATAAAACCAGCTACAAGGCTAGTTAGGAGGTTTAGGTATAGAACTTCAATATAGGTTACTAGGAGTATTGGAAAACGAAGCTTAAGGGAGATAAGAGATAGCTTCTCTAAACCCTCAGGTTAGGTAGGGCTTAGACATAAATATAACAATTAAGCATAGAATAAAATAATTCTTAGTCACTTGCCGCTATCCCTGATTAACCCCCTTAGCTTCAGCTATTCTATTTATCTTTGTAATAATAAAGTGTTGAAAATAGGGGCGTTCAAACCCTTGTTATAAAGGCCCTGCAAGGTCTCTAACATAGTTATAACAGGGGACCCTTGCCTAGGAACCTCCTGTAATTATAGAAGGTCCGCACTCCTACAAAGGATAGGTAAGCACTGACAAGTTCCCTAGTGCTAGAATATTCCTTTAGCTAGTATTAAATGGCTATGAATATAGGCCTTTTATCGCCCGTTAGATAGTTTTGTAATTCAGTTAATCATTTATCTTTCATCTGCCCTAAAATATCCGAATACTATTTCTCCGATTCCTTTGTGAGTTAGCTCATAAAAGCTTCCTTGTTTCAATATATAGTAATTAAATACTAAAACGAGACATGCTAGTCTTATTACCCTATAATTAAGGGATACTTTAATACCTAACTAGTGCTCGCTCTACCTTGACGTCGTATTACGACTTATATTTATCGAGGGATAGAACGCTAAGAGCTAGCGTATTCGCAAACGTAGAGAAATTAGCTTTTGCTTCTCTTTAAGTATAATAGTGGCGGCCAGTAGGTAACCCAGGCACTACGCCACGTAGCTAATATCAGCCTTAACGGTAGGGGCGTCTAGGTTCTCTTTAAAGCTCTAGCCTAGCACTGACTCTATTTCGATATAGATATAGTCCGACCTGCGTATGTGTTACTTAGCTAGCTAGGGTTAAGGCTAATACTGTTGATACGGAAGCAAATACTATGCAATATAAGAAAGTTAGCAGCCTGCACCGCCTAACAAGGACTTGGTTTGATATTTATTATCATAGGACGATGGTATAACCGACGCCTATACGGGAGATAATTGCCGTGTCGGCACCTAATTATTAAGCAGCTGCTATAGATTCTTCTCGATCTAGAGAGTTATAGAGCTGGATGGTTGGTTATTGGTATGTCAACATTCGTGGTTAATTATTCTACGGACTAAACAAAAACCCCTGCATTTTAGATCCCCTCGTAGAGTGCCTGACATAAAATTTCATATTAACAGTTATATAAATAGATCCTAAGAATTTCATTATATGTGCCCATGTGTGGGTCCTATCATAACACGGAAGAACGACCGGAAGTGGCTAACGCGCCTAAAAGTGAGTTCCGGCGCGATCTTGTTGTTGCCTCAAAGGCTCGGAAATTTTCCCACTACATCATCTGAATATTAGAACTCGGGCGAGTAGGCCGCGCTCTTGCATAATGCAGTTGGTTCAGAGTTATATTAGAGCTAGAATGTCTGTCACATGACGCATCATGCAAGGACGCGACACAGGATTAGCCATGTGAGAGCCTTGATTCGAGCGGATGAGGCAACGAAATGATCCTCTGCATGCTAAGGGGCGACGAGTCGCGTGTAATGGGCGCCCCGATAAGGCACGTATCCCTCCTGACATAAGTTAACTATTTATCTCGGATGCCCGGCGCCGCATGAACGGCACAGACGGCATGGAGTGGTGTGGACGGTGTCGGGGTGTGCTCGGAAAACTCTCCCAATCCAGGTTTCAGTTCCTTGCGGTAGAGCAAAGGGCACACATATGCAGGTCACTGGCGAACCAAAAGGTCATGCAAGTAGGATCTGGACATTATAATGATGATCCCTTTGTATTGGGGGCCCCGGTTCGCGGGCAACTCTAGCGTCCACAAGTGGCTTTTCGTAAGCCACTTACAACTGCTTAATTGTGGCGTGTGCCCAGCTCAATTGGCCGACAGGCACGGCAAATGCACTTGATACAATAAAAGGCTGCGGGCCGTCGCGCTCATCTGGGAAGCCTAGCTTGGCGGACAGGGATCCATCATAGCCAGCCTATCATAGCCCAGCCTGGGACGACCGCGAAACAGCCGGATCATGATTCCGACGGTACATTTTGATGTGCGGGCCTAAATATTGGCTTGGTTGCATTTTGCCCACACGAGACTCCGAGTGCAACGCAAGAAACCTGATCGCCAGACTCGTACCTCCGTGGGCGCCAATGCCGGTGACGAGACGAGCGTGCTGACCGTTCTTCACTGCTGGCCTCGTGTTGGCGAGCAGCGTCAGGAGGGAAAATAAATACGCATGCCAAAGCACGTCAGCGTTCAAAAGATGGCCAGAATACTAAGACGTGAGATGTGCATTGTCGTCCTTATTTGCCGGCAAACGTGGCAGACGCCGTGCAGCTTCAGAGCATGCAAATCTAGAGCACTTCCCACCCTAAACCCAGCTACGTAGATCAAAATGGCGTTTAGAATTCTCGCCCGACCTGCGACTCTTTCCGGGTATTTCGAGACATGTAGTGAGCTTCCGTCTACCCGCAGAACAACTTACGACAACACAGCAGCGATGCCAGCGTCTACAATGGTGACAGCACGGCAACGTCCACGCCCACAGCAATGTCACAACGGCGCTGCACTGCACTCCCCACGATGGCAAAAAGGTTCTTTTGCACGAAGACAAGGGTCATAAATGCCGATGTTCCCGGGAACATCATCATGCACACGCCCCCCAACTGCAGGAGTTGATCGAGGCTTGCATGAGATACACAGACCGTCGTATGGTGACTTGCTTCCGCTCCTCCAACGGCAACGCCCATGATGCACTTCCCTACTTGAGGGGGTTCTTGGATACCCCGGAAGAGGAATGCAATCGAAGGGGGCGAGGAGATGGAAGATGAGGAAATCCAAACAAGACCTAGGGGCCCAAGCTTTCTTCTCTTGCAAATATTCTCGTCTTTCCAGCACAGCAAATTTTACTAAGTTGAGACATCCTGTCACGAGATACCAAACTACACACACCATCATATCAAGAAATTTCTACATTCTACCACAATCCTACGCTACAATGGCCGTCATGAAGAAACAGGTGAGATTCTTGAGGACTGATTGGTTGGTGTGAATACTGCATAACACATTCTTGGGACAGTCTTTGATTCTCGCCTCGGCGCGGGAGGCTCTCAAAAATGCCGAAAGGCTGGTGAGCTATCTCGAGGAGAACGGCATGCAAGAGCCAAACTTCTCCGCTGACTCCCCTCCTCACCCCGAGAACGGCGAGTATGATGCGATCAGAAATGATCTCAACCAAGCAGCCACTGATCTGAGTCTGCTGGCCACGGGTCCGCTCCAGTGGATCCGGACCTTCTGCTGCTGCCACCATGACATGGCCGCGTGGCAGGTAGCTCTGCGCTTCAAGTACTTCACCATCGTGCCTCTTGACAGACCCATTTCTGTCAAGGAGATGTCCAGCAAGGCGCAGATGGACGAGGACCGTCTGCGCCGTGTGATGACGTTCCTCACCACCCAGAGGTGCTTCCAGGAGCTGGATGATGACCGCTTCGAGCACACTGCTCTCTCCGCCTTTATCTCCAAGAACAAGGACATTGAGCAGTGCTTTGCTTTTGAGTAAGGCAATTCCCCGTTGATTTTAATTCCGGTTGGGCGAAAGAAAGAAAAAGAGAGACTAAATCATTGCATCCTAGGGCGGACGAGATGTTCGAGGCGGCTTCCATGACTGCTACATCCATCCAAAAGGCCCCGTTCACTTCGGAGGCCAAGAACAGCGCTTTCAACCTCCGATTCGGAACTTCGCCGTACACGTGGTACGCGGAGAACCCGGAGCGCGGTGCGCGCTTCGCGTCCGCCATGGCTGGCTATGTTCAAAGTAAGTCGCGTTCGCATCATTGAAGAGACCGCATGCTGAATGAGAAACCTTGAAGTGAACAGAGACCACAAGGAGCTGATGGACAGATTCCCCTGGGCCAGCCTCGGCGACACAAAAGTCGTCGACGTCGGCGGTGGAAGCGGACATGTGTCCATTTACCTCGCGGCGGTAAGTTCGCTCGCCTTGTATGGTCAGATTCATGCAGAGGGAAATGCTTACACCCGGCTATAGAAATTTCCCAACCTCAAGTTCCTTGTTCAGGATGTCAACACCGTCATGCTCGAGGAAGGTCCCAGACGCCCAGACTATGCCCCCGTCCAGGAACGCGTGTCATTCATGAAGTACAGCTTCTACGAGCCGCAGCCCATCACTGACGCGGGACTCTTTTTCCTGCGGCAGGTCACTCACAATTACCCAGACGATGTCTGCGTTAAAATATTCAAGTCATTTGTCCCCGCGATGGAGAAATCCGCCCTGGGTACCAACCTCCTGATCAACGACATGCTGCTCCCGCCACCCAACCAGGAGCTCAAGGTGGAGGAGTACCACCTGAGGCAGATTGACATCCACATGCTCGATGGCTATGCTGCTAAGCAGCGAAGTCTTGCCGAATTTGAAGCTCTGCTCAAGGAAGCGGATCCCAGGTTCGAGGTCAGTTTTCTCCAGTTCTCCAATTCAGTGGCTATTCTAACGGAAATCAGGTTGTCCACGTTCACGGCAAGGGGATCATGGGCTTGATCGAGGTGACCCTGAAGCAGTAGATAGTTCAATAGTTTTTCCGAGGCAATATATAGTGACTTGGTGAATTCTTTATACCACAGCTGTGTCAGGAGTCGGTAGGTTTCGCTAAACTTAGCCCTCGTGCTATGATCTAGCGATAGACAAGAGCATACAGGGCTGTGTTAGTAGTCTCGAATAATAACAAAGAGGATGAGGTTCGAGTCACACCTAGGGCATCTAGAGCACTTTACTATACCTATTTTAACGAGAGACGGCCTATCTGCCTAGGGGCCCAACATCCCTACAAATCTACTTTACCTCCACATCCAGATAATTTAGTACTCCATCATGTCTTCACACCACACTAACGCTAAAAGGCTCCCCCAGCCACCCTAATGGCTATAATAGCCGTGGCCAGTGATATTCGTCTAATAGTTCCGATCCTAAAAGCGTTACTATATATTCTTCGGAATATACGCCGGGATAAGTATACTATCAATAACGCCTATAGTACCGTTGAATTCCTATAAATCAGTATTAAGTCCGATAGCCGAGGAGACATAACCTTCTAGCAGCGGCCGGATAAAGGCTTTATATACGTTCCTTGTTAGACTAATTAAGGGGTAAATGATACATAATATTATACTACGGTTTAGGTAGAAGACTCGGGTAGCGTTATAGTGCGTCTTATTAAAAGCCATCAGCTATAAGACAACGAATACCCTTTATTCTAGGGTAGTATAGCGGCCGCCGCCGCGATGTTACGACCTAGTCCCTCGTAACACACCAGCTATTATATTAAGCCTTTGGTACTAAACGAGTCGTGGAAGGTAGTCTTAAGCATACGGAAGAGGTCGAGAAATACCGTATGGCTAAGTTAAAGGAAGCTATATACGACTCGACAGGGGTTCGTTAGCGATATTAATATATTGCTAACGTCTAAGTTAGCAGCTCATCTAGTTAGTTATAGTTATTGCCGCCAGCCGCAGTCGAGGTCACAGCTTTAATAGGCGTGTAATAAGGCCACGGTAAAGCGTATAGTATCTTGCTCATCTTCGTCTTCTATAATAAGGATATCCTGGATCAAGGCTAGGGTTAGGTGGCCGTCAGGGTCGATAAGGCCTTCTATAAGGTCTCACGTTGGTCTGCAAAAAACAAACCATTCTAAATCAATTTACACGATGCTTACTAGAGTGTAGATTTTTTTACATTTGCAGGCTGCAAACCACAAATTCCCTTGCAAAATACCCTCCTCGAGAATAGATCATAGCCTTATTTAGGCAGCGCAAGGACCCTGGCTAGCGTATGACTTGCGATTTATGTAAGCTTCCCCGATTTTCATAGCCGATCTTTACTGAATATAGCGTACAAGCAACGTTATGCAGCTGCAAATATTTTGCATACCACAGATGCTCTACTGTTGGAGCCAACCAGCAGTCTCAGGCACTGAAAAAGTGCTCAGCCGACATGGCGGTACTATTCATGTTCTGATAAGATGGCGCCACTTCTGGTCGACTACAGACTCTACATGCAAACTCTGAGACGGAGTCATTGGGTCTGCACTTATGTAGCAGGGCCCAAGCGCGCGCGCGCGTTGGGACAAACATCTCTGATGTGACATGTCAGCCAATATGCATAAATATCAGTCATAATCTACAGGGGTCGAGGCTGCCATGCTAACGAATGCGACCATATTGTTCATGTGGCAAGTATGTTCTCTGCGGCAAACAAAGGTTCGTCTTCTCTCTCAATCTCAATCTCAACAAATCATGTGCCGGTAAAGCAAGGCAAGGCAATGCAAGGCAAGGCAAGGCAAGGCAAGGCAAGGCAAGGCAAGGCAAGGCAAGGCAAGGCAAGGCAAGGCAAGGCAAGGC